TATATGCCCACCCAATATTCTGCTATCCTCTGACTTCTTACATTAGAAGAAATTGAAAAATTGATCCACTGACCAAAATGTTACATGTCATCAATTCATCTGTAGTAACATCAATTCGTTGTGAACAAATGAAAAATTTTTAGAAAAAAAAAATCCACCGGAAAATAACGGAAAAATGCAAAAACTCAATCACAAATGCTTCATCAATCTCGTCATTTTCCTCCTGACACCGTCAAATTTTCCTTTGTTATTCTCGTAGAGCCCATTCCTCCCGTCCCCGCAACATTTCAATCGAAGCACATGATTGAATAGAAGCATTCACACAGAATATTTCAAAAAATTCTCAGCGAACAACTCACTTCAGTCTGAAAATGTGATGGCGTTGCGCACTGTTGCTATTGTCCTTGCTCTGAGGTTTATTTCCCACTGCAGTTGTTTGCTGCGTAACATCATCATTCATTCCTTAACACTGAAATCTTTTCAGTCACATCTATTTAGCACATATCAAGTAACACACAAATCAGATCAAATTAACCGAACTGTAATCGATTCATCATCCGTAATCACAGCTCATGCTCGTGTGCATGGATCACTGAATGAGAGTATTGATTTGAACATTAACATCCATTCAAATGTTTATATCCAAATCAATACCCATCCATACTAACAAACAAGAATACTGTCAGTTATAAGCTACAGTAATGCCTAGAAACTACAGTAGCCTTCACGGTAAACTTCATATAACCAAATGTGTCTCGAAAAAGCATGTTTTCCAATCAATCACCCCGCAGCAATATCAACGAAAAGCCAAGCAGCCGAGCAGAGAGCATTATTTATTGTGAGATGATTCAAATAATGGCGCATTGAAGTTGGGTTTTAACTTAGAGGGTTTTAGCTCAAAGAGAATCACCTAAAAGCTGAAAGAAATCAGTTAGTTCACTGAACATATTGTGTAACAAACGACGTTATAACAGAGGATAACGCCGAGAGATACATCAGAGATTTAAAGAGGATCGGAGTTGGATTTAGGACATACAAATGGATACGAGGGAGTTATAAGAATGTTGAGAAGATTACGAGCGATGCTGAGTAAGATAATGAAGATTGAGGTTTTTTGCAGCAAACCGGTGAGCAGCTTCAATCAGCAAGTGAATATTTCAATCGGCAATTGCGATATTGTGTTCGTTCACTTTGCTATTATAAGACATTCACTAGAAAATGAACACTGCGAAACAACTAATACTAAGTGAAACCTAAGAAATCACTTACAGTCGAGTGCAATAGAATGAAATCCAATAAAATAACAGCGTAGTAACAACGATAATAACAATAATCATAATAATAGTTCTAATAATAGAGGTTGAAGAGATGTGTATCCTCAGGTCAATAATAAAACATATTGAGAGCAATCGTGAAATACTTTGAGGAATGCTAATAGCAATAATAACAACAATAATCATAATAATAGTACTACTATTGGAGGCTGAATAGATGTGTATCCTCAGATCAATGATAAAACATATTGAGAGCGATCGTGAAATATTTTGAGGAATGCTAATAGCAATAATAATGAGTCTTAAGGACAATATTAAATTAAATATTAAATTAAATTATTTCACGATTGCTATCTTAAGGAAAACATCGATATTGATGAATAACAATATTAAGGAGCTACGCAGAACAATATTAAAATACACCATAACATAATCTCAATAAAGTCTTCGAATATTAATTTTAAACTAGCAATAAGCAATCGATAATTTTCACTTTCAGAAAACAATTGTGGAAAGTTTAGAGAATTGATCAAATTTGCTCTCAGTCTTTTTATTATTTCTTCCTGTCGAATGCACTTCATTTAATGTAATGATGCATTAAATTGATTCATCCATTCATATCAATCGACTGCACATGAATAAAATTCGTAACTGAGGCAATTTGTTTATTCGTTGCAGTTTTTTCATTCCCATTTTACATTTTCATTTTTATTCCACAATTTTTATTTTCAGAATTTTCATTGAACTGTTAAACTGTGAATCGCTTCATTAAAACACCAATCAGCATCAGTAGGAATTGATATGAACTGATATCAGTGATTAAACTGACAGGAGCTAATCTGAATTGATAGGAACTGATATGGCTGGTAAGGAAGGATCCGAACTATATCATCACACACCAACAGATATATCCCAAAAAANAAAAAACAATGAACTACTCTCAGAACACCGACCAACTGATTAACAAACGAAACACGTATCAAAACTGTTATTTAATTTGAGCATTGAGACTTGATGAAGATGATGAAAAACAAGAATAGCTTTTATAAATAGATATCTGTTGAAGAGTAGTGAATCGTTTGAGCCCTCGTCTTTGGCTTGGAACTGATTGAATGATCGTAAAAATGTTGCGGATAACTCTTCTCAGCGAGTGATAATTGCTAATCAATGACTGATCGATAACACGACTTGAGTCAACGAAACATGTATGAAAAGTGCACAATCCTATTCGAAATTCGTGTAGTAATATTCAGGCTTAGGCTGCCGTTAGTGAATGCGTTCTTAAGTTTCAATTGAATAACACATAGTGGCGAGTGAAGACAGAGCAATATAACGCGATGCTCTTCAATAATCATTCTTTCGCAAAACTAGAATTATATTTGATAATTACCAATCGTTGCTGTTCACAACTAATGTGCTGTTATTTTATCATGTTCTATTCAAAAATCATACTTACACAAATAAACGAATGGGTGCCGGGTAGAATACTAGCAAGCTGAATGCACTCAATTCAAAACCTCTCCCCTTATATCAGTAAATGAGCTCTCGAATGATCCTATGCGGTGTGGTTCTATCGTCAGCCTTGATCAGCTTAATGCTATCCATCTGTGTATCATCCATACATCTAATCTATTGATTCGTTCTTTAAGCGACCATCATCACTACTACCATTTTTTTT